GAGCCCAGGGAATTTACTCATAGCGCACAGGCGCCTTGCTATGCGTGGAAGCAGCACGGCCATGAGGGAAAGGTTCAGCCTCCTCTAAGTAAAATAACAGCTGCAATTTTCTTTTAAAACATTCGAACCGTTCTTATACCGAGAGAGTTACTCGCCGGTGCGGCACGCATGCGCACTGCGCAGGGTATACGATGTTGCCATGTAGTCATAACGGGCAGCGTAACACGACTGCACCTGCACAAATATGGCCGCCGGCGTCCACCAGGCCAAGACGCCGCCGCTGCAAGGCTCGCCGGGCCTGGGATCCGCGGACGTCCTGCTCGTCGCTGCGCCCGCCCGCGGCATCCCGACACGCGTGCTCTTGCATGCAGGCGCACTCCGGGAAGTGGCCATGACGAAATACAACACTGCATGTCCTTGGTTGCAGAGCCCGGCCTCGCCCTCCCCGTGCCGCCCACACGCCCATCTCCACCCGCGGCTCCTGCGCCCTTGGCGACGATGTAAACTAACCTTGAGCCTCGACTCCTGCCGCAGACAGTTTACGAAGGCTCCCCGAAGCACAACCTTCGGCAGACACTCTCACCTGCAGAAGCCGAGGAAAGTATCGAGCGAGCATCACCCTTGAACCCTCCAGTACTAGTATTCTCTTTCTCCCTCTCCCTCTCCCTCCCTTTCTCCCTCTCAGATCGGCCTCGACTCACTCTTCCCGAGCAGCTAATCCGGATCCGAAAGCCCAATCATCGACCTTGCTCCCAATCACTCGCTCCGAATCCCTTGCAAACACGTGGATGAACTCAGTTTCCGACACCGCCCCCCCTATGGGACAGGAGGGGGGAGGGCATCCTCCTCCCTTCATGGCGTAAGTCTGGGTAAGTTTAGTTTACTTTGCTTTACTTTACGTCGACCGCACACAGCACACTAACGCCACACACTTCTCTTGCGCCTCACACTTAGAAGCAGGATATAAGTGTGAGGTTACAAGTATGTATGCAAATAGGTAAGTACATAAGTACTTATGTAAGGATGTACGGAAGTATGTAGATGTACGTACTTATGCCCGGTTATGTATGTATGTTTGTAGGCCTATGTCCATATGTAAGAGAACGAACGGGCGGATGAGCAACAGACGGAGGGCCTGGCAAGTGTCTGCAAGCAAGCGTCGGGCGCCAAGGGGAGAGTGAGAGTGAGAGCGAGAGCGGAAGCGAGTCGGCGAGGCCTACCAGCTCGGCCAAGCGCGCGGGCCGGGGTGCCACCAACTAACTGATCGAGGTCAGCGGCGTCAGCAGAGTCAGCCGCCCCAGCCCCCCCCCCCAGCCCCACCCTCCCTCCGGCTCCCCGCAGCCTAGAAGAACGAACGACCGCGCTTCGTTCTCGCTTTCGCCGTTCCGCGGTCGCCGGGTCCGGGATGCGTTCGGTTCTGGCTCGGGCATATTATTTATATATATAGCCCCCCCCACACACACACACACACACACATTCTCATGATTTCATTCTTTCTTCTCCTCTCCTATCTCTCTCATTCATTCACCTATATGAAGTTGCGTTTAAGCATAAACGGAGGAAGAATGGGGCAGACCTATGAAAACAGATGAATGCAATAGATACACCACCTCCTCCCTTGCCACGTCCACTTAACGGGTTTCTCAAAATGTCCTGCTTTTCCCCCGCGACTAACCCGTTCCAACCCCCCCCCCCATGTCCCTCTCTCTCTCTCTCTCTCTCTCTTCTCCTCTCCTATCTCTCTCATTCATTCACCTATATGAAGTTGCGTTTAAGCATAAACGGAGGAAGAATGGGGCAGACCTATGAAAACAGATGAATGCAATAGATACACCACCTCCTCCCTTGCCACGTCCACTTAACGGGTTTCTCAAAATGTCCTGCTTTTCCCCCGCGACTAACCCGTTCCAACCCCCCCCCCCCCCCTCTCTCTCTCTCTTCTCCTCTCCTATCTCTCTCATTCATTCACCTATATGAAGTTGCGTTTAAGCATAAACGGAGGAAGAATGGGGCAGACCTATGAAAACAGATGAATGCAATAGATACACCACCTCCTCCCTTGCCACGTCCACTTAACGGGTTTCTCAAAATGTCCTGCTTTTCCCCCGCGACTAACCCGTTCCAACCCCCCCCCCCCCCCCAGCCCCACCCTCCCTCCGGCTCCCCGCAGCCTAGAAGAACGAACGACCGCGCTTCGTTCTCGCTTTCGCCGTTCCGCGGTCGCCGGGTCCGGGATGCGTTCGGTTCTGGCTCGGGCATATTATTTATATATATAGCCCCCCCCACACACACACACACACACACACACACACACACACACACACACACACACACACACACACACACACACACACACACACACACACACACACACACACAAAGTTCAAAATATCACTCTCACTCCCCCCCCCCCCCTCTCTCTCTCTCATACACACTAGACAAGTAGAAACATCGAACCTCGAAAATTTCGCCTCAAATATTCGGTTCTCCAGAATTACCCCATCACTCCTACCGCCGCTCGCTGGACCCCCTCTCCCCATCCTCCTCCTCCTCTTTTCATCATCCGTATCCTCTCTCTAGATGCAGCATAATTCTAAGGCTGGTCACCTCGCTCTCGTATCTAATCCAATTCGTGTCATTTCCCTTCATGTAAAATACCGAGCGCCTGCAACTTGTCCGCCTCCCTTGTTCGATTCCGCGAGAGGGACGACCAAGTGCTCTCCTCCCCTCCCTTTTATTCACTGCAATGGCCGAAACTGCACTCGTTCTTCTAGCACACGAAGGGCGCTCCACCTACACCTCGCGGGAACACCTTCACGCCACCTACACCGCCTCCACCTCACTCGCTCGCTGCCTTCGTCCTACACCCGGGGCGAGCAGGCCTTGATTCGGGACCACGAGTGGGGGCGAGGACAGTCTCTCTCTCTCTCTCTCTCTCTCTCTCTCTCTCTCTCTCTCTCTCTCTCTCTCTCTCTCTCTCTCTCTCTCTCTCTCTCTCTCTCTCTCTCTCAATTTATATTCACCATGGCTTCACTATCTAACGGCCCCGCTTGTCAGCATTCCAATTTGACAGTAGACTTTCCAGTGTGAGGAGGTCATCTGCCATCGACAGACCACGGCGAGTCTCCCTCCTGCATTTGCATTCCACGAACAGTATCCAGAAGGTTCCGTCCCCCTTCTCAAACAACCCCGTCTGACTCAAAATTCAGATTCAGCAGTAAGAGTATTCTTATAATTGTTGAGAAAGGTAAAACATATCCAGACAGGAGTGTTTTGGCTGACCTCTCTGTCAAGGAAATTTCTGCAGTTCGCGAGGAGAATGTAGGGCGCATTCCCTGGCTCTGCTCACTCGCCGAACCTGACTGGACCTGCCACTTTACATGCCTTCTTCCCGAACGCCTTACATCTTGAGAATTCCCCGTCACTTTCACTTCGCATTCGCCAACTCACGAGAGATGCACTCAAGTGTGCTGACTCGCGCTGCACGCCACCTTCATGGTAGTTCCTCCCTCTCTCGGCCGACCCCCCCCCCCCCCTCCCGACCAAGGGCGCTTCCAACATCCAGCCTTCGGTATTGCTCCGATGCTGGGCTCGCCGGTTGTTGCCTGGGAACTCCTTGGCCGCCCATCATTCTGGAATCCAAGCCATTCCCTTCACTCGAAGTCCAAGGCTCGCGTCAAGACCCCTTCCCAGCGGCAGCCCAACCCCCTGCCTCCCGTGCCCCTCTCCCCGTCCACCGCCTTCGACCCTGCCACGTCGAGGATAAACGTGCGAGGGTTGCCGGCCACTTGTCCAACCTCCTCCGCTCATACCTACAGGCCTCCTTTCATGCACAGAAAGAGCACCATACATGGATCCCTTCTTCATGTAGTTTTCACTCGAATCTTTCCTTTCTGATTAATATTCACTCCTTCAAAAGAGAATTAGAAACTGCGCGGACCCAGCCTTGACAACGGGCTCTGATCAGATCCATTGGCTGGGAATATCATCACACAAGCTGTCCATGCCAACACACACAGCTGACATCTCGACGTGCAATGTTCACACCCATCCTGATTCGCCCTTTCTCTCTCTCCACCAATATCATGTAATGGTTAATGTACACGCTAACTGTTAAAAGAGCTCGTTAACACCGGCTAAGCTACATAGTTACCGTTTACCACTTCGGAACTTATTGCCATTAATAGTGTAAAATGTGTGCAACGGCATAGGTCGGATTTGATTTATTTATACTAGAATATTTTGGTCTAGAGCCAGAGTGCAAATACTTCGTAGTGTTAGTAATACATTACAAAATCAAATTTACATATTAGCTCATCATCAACATTCATGGGTCCGTAATCATCAAGTTCAGTCTTGTTACATTACAAGGTACATTTAGCGATAGAGAAAGAGTAGGAAAACAAAGCAGAGTCCCAGAATGCGTGAGTGAATGCTGTGTGATCGTGTTTCCAAGCGAACCTCGCATCCGTTACTAACTTGAATGTTCCAGAAGCAAGCATTTTAACACCGAAATAATGTCCTTGCAAATGCCGACAATGCAAGCCAGGCAAAACCGCAGTTAACGTACATACAAAGGAGAAGAACATAAAACGTTAGGAAAATGAGGAACGGTATTTGTGAACGTTAAATCAGTTTGAAGTCGGTGTGGGCGAGTGTGTGGGAGAGGCGAGGTGGCGGACCATACCCAGATGGTGCAGGGGTCGGCGGTGTTTGGTTGGCTGTCCCAAGGCCGAGTGCCCTCCCAAATAAGGAAGGCGCCCCAGGCAACAGCAGCGGCGGCCACGGCCTGCACTGCACTTGCATATATCCTTGTAGCTCAGGTTTGCAGCCTCCGGGGCTTAAACATCGCTAAATTACTTGTAGTTGGTATACAACTGCAATCACAATCGAAAACAATCTCAAACATTAATGCACTTAAATGAAAGAGTCATGCCTAACATCATCACTTGAAGGTTACTCTTAACAATGCACACTGCATAGAGCAAACACTGACGTACCTCTGGGCTGATGACGGAGATGAGGACCTCGTCGATGTTCGGTCTGTGGTAGAGGACACTGCCCGACACTTCACGATTATTGTGAGTTATGTATACTTTCTGCCCAGAGCGAAGCTTCACAGAGCCAACGGGTGTGAAGCCACTGCCTACCAGGTCGCCCTCACGAACTTCCCTGGCACGCCTCTCGCCCTCCACCCTCACAGAGTACACTGGAGGACCTCCTTCGTTGACAGTCTTTACCGCACATATAACTCCCGAGTAATATTTTCCATCATCCAGACAGCAGGCAACGCGCGTACCCAGGATGGACCGCTTTGCTAAACGCTTTCCAGTCGACATCTTGAACACTTTAGAAAAAGATCTATTGCTGATATCTAGTGGACAATGCTAAGTGCAGTCAAATAACGTTTTAAGAAAAGTTTAGGAAAATAAATATTTCAGACACAGCCAGTTCACGAGAATAAAGATCACTGATAGCAATCGACAGCCACAAACTCCCACTACTATGTCACAATCCGAAAGGTGTCCTTATCGTAAACGAATATGCCCATCTGGGTGTGGACGCACACAGGTCCTCCCGCGATATACATTTGCGTGGAACTGACTGTGAAATCAGCTGAGCGGCTCGCCTGGCCCAGCTGACAAACAACAACAAAACCACGTGACCTCCAACTCGAAGCGTGATTGGCTCCCGCATCCCTGACCCAGTTTTCTGATTGGTCAGCGTGCCGGGACTGCTAGTCCCATCAAAACAAAGAACGTTCACTACTTCAAATCAATTCGTTACTGATAGAATGCTAAGAAATAGTTATATTGCACATTATTGTTAGAAAAAAACAATAATAATTGTATACTACAACCTCAAACCACACTAAAGTGAAAATAAAAGGATTTATGTCAGCTGTGTTATGGTTTATTCCAGCGAGTGGCTCTCCTCCCCACTGACTCCTGTCAAATGTTGCCGGCCGGCATCAAGCACTTTGACGTGTTTTGGATATCTTCTGTCTATGAATGCATGTTATACATGTATTTAATATCAGATAGACTAGTCTCATCGGATATTTTGATGCAGTGGGAGCAACCCAATGATAATGTCGTAATTTATTGAATTACTTTAATTGGGAATGTTCGGTCGTGAGAACAGCGTAATGTTTACGTTTCGTATTTCTACGGTGGTGCCACATATCAAAATTCGTTGACAAAATACTCCTATAAACCGTATGATTTACTCATAAATCAAACACTTTATAAACACATATATTTATTCACCCCCGAAAGAATTAGTCGACCATAAATATGACGAAAAGTTCCGTGGCGAAACAGACCTTCGCAAGACCCGGCTCGCCATGGAAGGTTTGGCAGCGGGTGCGCAGAAGTCAATTTACGGCGCTGGCTTCGTGGACGCCGGACCTGCGACGCAAAAGGGACGTGGCCGGGAACTGCTTCATGGCCTGGCTCTTGCTGGGAGTGAAACTGATGCTTTTACACATTACCCCATTAAAGAAGGGCATTTTGTTTCGTCTACTTCGGCTTCAAAAACTACCGCAGCGAGTGCCGGTGTGCTGTGAATTATTCGCAAATGTTTACTTTTCAGTTTGAACAATTGGTATAAAAGGAGAAATGGCATCATGAATAGGACTGGCATACGTAAATAAACAATTTTAACGCGAAAACCCCTATTAATCGTTCCACTTAATATGCAGTCATAGGTTTGACTTGTTTATGATTTAATAAAACCTCGGAATAGGGATATTAAGCAGGATTCCTTAAAACTTTTGAAATCCTTTTCAAAATGCAAACGTTATAACAAAGGGAACCACAGCTTGAATTGAGTATCTTGGATGGCGATCGTAAACAATGAAATTGTCAGGAAATGCGGGTATATCGTATCTCAGTTAATACGTTTTATTTCATATTTGAGACTGATATTCCAGTTCATACATAGGGATACTAATGGTATAATAACAATGGCATTTTTGTACATACGGATTTTGCAATCTGAATACCAGACTACAGTGTACATGCATATGAAACACAGTCATACATAATAATCTTTGAAACTGCATTCTCGGATATATAAATCTGCTGTTATACACCACCCATGTTCGCTTAGTAACATTAGCTTGTTCCTTAATCAAGGCTACATAATGCGCAGTTGTGATAAGTTTCTTGGCATTCGCGTTTGTTAGCAAATAGTTGCTCCAAAATAGCACACTTGTACTGAATAGTTAAAAACTGTTGAGTTGCAGGAATCATAAATGGGGTAAAAAAAAATCCCCCCCCTCTCTCTCTCTCTCTCTCTCTCTCTCTCTCTCTCTCTCTCTCTCTCTCTCTCTCTCTCTCTCTCTCTCTCTCTCTCTCTCTCTCTCTCTCTCTCTCGGAATATCTTCTATGGTAATCTTGTTCAAATAAAACACTTCCTTTGCTTGGTAGTCACCTGCATGTTTATCCTTTTCCTGGTCTCCTCAAGGATAAAAGCTACCTGACCCAGAGGGATTGGGAACAAACGCTACCCACATCCCTGCCCGCGGCCAAGTTCCACTACCCTTTCATCGCGGGTTCCGATCCTTGCCCAACGGGGAGTTTTTGCTTCAAGGGAGTTTTTGGTGCAAGGAATCCATAGCAATTTGCGATTGTGCTTGTTTGATGACTCATCGTTCAAAGTGAAATGGAATACTACTAACCTTCAACCGATTTTAGTGGTGAATGATAAATATTTGTATGATGTGTTTATCTCTGGGTTTTAGAAAATTCACTAGGGAAGAGCTCAAGAGGTTTATATTTCCCTTCGTTTGTTGTGAAAATTCCCCGGCATTTTGACCTAAACTTGGCGTTAATGAGAAAATTCCTGGAATTTTTCTTTGCTTCAGGCAGAACTTCCTCGTAGTGTTCTGAAGTCTCTATGTCTTATGTTCAGACGGATTCCTTATTTTTCAGCTCTAACATTATGGAGCTTGATCTAATTGCCAATGTTTCAGGCTGTACTACAAATACAACAATCAGTATGCAGTATCCAGTATTCTAATTTAAACGTGCTGTAAGGCTTAACTGTTGGTGGAATTTAAGTACCGAGTAACATCCAAGTATCATGTTCCTCGCTTCTCAAATTCCGTCCCTTCTTTCACCGAAGTTTGTGCTCGGTGCCGTTTCGAAGGAAATGTGCCGCCGTAAGTAGCCCATGATCGCTTACGAAATTAATAAACAAATTTGATAAATAAAAAGCTGATATAAAAAAAATCGTTCACCAAAGTTTAAATCAATAATTCCCAGGAATAATTTGTATTTTGCTTTTGTGTACATATGACTGTTGCAGCTATTCCATTGCTGAATTGTTAGTACTAGCAAAAGTAGAGGTTTACAATATCATACTGTAACTGGCCTTTAAAAATCCACTGATCACTCAAAACATTCGTTGTAACATGTTTAAGAAATAAGGCACCGAGTACTCTGAGATACTGCCAGTAATGTAAAGTATTTCATAATACAAGAGAAAGTTCTTTAATAGGAGAATAAGACCAAAATAAAACAATACAGTGTTTTAGAGGAGTAATTGTAAATAAAACATATGAACAGTTCGTTTGTTTATTAAATACAAATCTGCTAAACATATCCTTAAAGTAAATGTAACTTTTACACATATCACACTCATTCATTTGACATGACAACTGCTTCACCCTGATAAATTAAAAAAAAGAAACCCCAGGATTTGTCACCGGAAAAATAGTTGCTTGTATATGTTGATCCAAATATTTTATGTTTCATAAGATTATAAAAGAAAAAAATATATGCCTGAGGTGCATCAGCTGATGGCTTATGAATTACAAGATCACATGAATTTTCCATTATATTCAACTATAGGAAAAGAAACTTAAGGAAAATGTTACACTTGCCTTCCATCATTAAATTACCATCTAGAAGGAGAAAATATTAGAAATAAAAAAATACAATACTAGAGCGACCTAGTCAAGTTTACGAAAACCTATTGTTCCCATGACCTATGTCTCATAATCTGGATTTTTCTTAAGGATTACAAAGCCCTCCATGATAGATGTGAGGGGAAGGTACTCGTCCGTGGCAAGCTCTGCCCTCTCTCCATGTGCAAGCAAGACTGGGGTTGTGTGCGTTTGGAAACCAGTAATTGTTTTGGGCTTGCCTGCCTGACCAACCACATCGACAGCCTGGAAAAAAAGATAAAAAATAGATGTCATACTTTACACTTACAAAGTTCATTATAACTGAAAGAAATTCCTTTAAATACAAGATATCTACTCAGAATGGTGTTTGTATGAAATGTGACAATCTGGTAAGACCATTACCTACAACAACTACAGCTCCTCTGAACTATTAAAAAGCAATGTGATAAAAGGATTCCTTATTGAATTATCAGACACATACAAGTCTTTACCTGCTTACCTTCACATAAAGACCTCACAATGTTGACCATCAAAGAAATTGACAACTAATGATGATAATCTTACCTGACCAACACGAACAGATACTGGGAGTGGATTTAGCTGTTCATCAAAAGTGACCAACATGCGTGGCTGGATAGCTGTGACAAGGCAGTAAAGCAGGTAGTGGCTCTTGCCTAGGATTACTGTAAAGTATAGTAAAATGCAATTAAAGGTATGCTATGGAACACAATATATTTATTAAAATGTAGGTGTATATTCATCAATAACAATACTAAAATTAAAATCTCAAACTGTAAAATAATAATAAAGGAAGCATGACCATCAGTCATGTTCTCATGTCCACAAGTACTCACAGGTCTTGGTATCAAGGAATGCCATACAGGTGGCCAGGAGACCTGCTACAGCAACATATATATATATATATATATATATATATATATATATATATATATATATATATATATATATATATATATATATATATATATATATATATATATATATATATATATATATATATATATATATATATATATATATATATATATATATATATATATATATATATATATATATATATATATATATATATATATATATATATATATATATATATATATATATATATATATATATATATATATATATATATATATATATATATATATATATATATATATATATATATATATATATATATATATATATATATATATATATATATATATATATATATATATATATATATATATATATATATATATATATATATATATATATATATATATATATATATATATATATATATATATATATATATATATATATATATATATATATATATATATATATATATATATATATATATATATATATATATATATATATATATATATATATATATATATATATATATATATATATATATATATATATATATATATATATATATATATATATATATATATATATATATATATATATATATATATATATATATATATATATATATATATATATATATATATATATATATATATATATATATATATATATATATATATATATATATATATATATATATATATATATATATATATATATATATATATATATATATATATATATATATATATATATATATATATATATATATATATATATATATATATATATATATATATATATATATATATATATATATATATATATATATATATATATATATATATATATATATATATATATATATATATATATATATATATATATATATATATATATATATATATATATATATATATATATATATATATATATATATATATATATATATATATATATATATATATATATATATATATATATATATATATATATATATATATATATATATATATATATATATATATATATATATATATATATATATATATATATATATATATATATATATATATATATATATATATATATATATATATATATATATATATATATATATATATATATATATATATATATATATATATATATATATATATATATATATATATATATATATATATATATATATATATATATATATATATATATATATATATATATATATATATATATATATATATATATATATATATATATATATATATATATATATATATATATATATATATATATATATATATATATATATATATATATATATATATATATATATATATATATATATATATATATATATATATATATATATATATATATATATATATATATATATATATATATATATATATATATATATATATATATATATATATATATATATATATATATATATATATATATATATATATATATATATATATATATATATATATATATATATATATATATATATATATATATATATATATATATATATATATATATATATATATATATATATATATATATATATATATATATATATATATATATATATATATATATATATATATATATATATATATATATATATATATATATATATATATATATATATATATATATATATATATATATATATATATATATATATATATATATATATATATATATATATATATATATATATATATATATATATATATATATATATATATATATATATATATATATATATATATATATATATATATATATATATATATATATATATATATATATATATATATATATATATATATATATATATATATATATATATATATATATATATATATATATATATATATATATATATATATATATATATATATATATATATATATATATATATATATATATATATATATATATATATATATATATATATATATATATATATATATATATATATATATATATATATATATATATATATATATATATATATATATATATATATATATATATATATATATATATATATATATATATATATATATATATATATATATATATATATATATATATATATATATATATATATATATATATATATATATATATATATATATATATATATATATATATATATATATATATATATATATATATATATATATATATATATATATATATATATATATATATATATATATATATATATATATATATATATATATATATATATATATATATATATATATATATATATATATATATATATATATATATATATATAATATATGTATATATTAAAAAAGGACTTAAAATCTCCACACATTTCTATCCAGCCCTGACATGAAAAAACATTTTACACATTCTAATATTATGCTATACTCTTATGAACAACAATAACAAAAAAAATAAAATCACTTCTATGAATTATAAAACTAGTCAGTTATGCTGAGATGGAATGCAACTTTTACATACCAGTCCAGCCACACTGAAAGGATTTAATACATATACCCTAAATATATGCCGGGAAAAATTCAAACATCCAATTTTAGTATCCACAGCTCACCTGGCATTATTTGTTCCTGCCCCTACAAGACCCATAGCAAAGATAGCATTGTGAGCCACATCAGTGTCTGAGTCATGGGAGAACTTGCTAAGAGTGTCCAGGATGTTGAGTCTGGGGTTTGAAACAGAGATGAGGCCAAGCGCAAGAGGAACGGCTCTTCTAATAACAGGCTCACAATAACGCAACAAGTTGCCAAACTGGCGGAACGACATCTCTGCTCCAATATCCTCACCCATGGCAATCAGCGCAATGCCTGAAGAAGAGAAAAGTACAGATGAGCACAATTGGTACAGGTGATAAGAAAAAAGTTTGCCAATCAGCAAAATTTCAGGTTGTTTTGCCACACTGCAATCACTGAAATGTTATTTCCCATAAAAGCAATTAGAAGAACGGAAAAGAACAGAAAAGAGAGAGAGACAGAGACAAAGAGATACAGACATGACATTATTGAATTCAGGCAAATACAACAAAACTCCTTTTCTGTAGAGCCAGCCTTGCAACTTTACTGCCTGATCTTAAAACCCCTAGCTTTCGTCTGGGAATAGATCTAAAAACTTTATTTAACAACTCATCAATTTTATATATGAATATATATGTATTTATATGTATATATATATGTATATGTATATATATATATATATATATATATATATATGAGAGAGAGAGAGAGAGAGAGAGAGAGAGAGAGAGAGAGAGAGAGAGAGAGAGAGAGAGAGAGAGAGAGAGAGAGAGAGAGAGAGAGAGAGAGGGGGGGGGAAAGAGGGAGAGAGGGGGAAAGAGGGAGAGAGAGGGAAAGAGGGAGAGAGGGAGAGGGAGGGGGAGAGAGGGAGAGGGAGGGGGAGAGAGGGAGAGGGAGGGGGAGAGAGGGAGACAGAGAGGTAGGGGGAGAGAGGGAGAGGGAGGGGGAGAGAGGGAGAGGGAGGGGAGAGAGAGGGAGAGGGAGAGGGAGGGGAGAGAGAGGGAGGGGGAGAGAGGGAGAAAGAGGTGGGGGATACATTTCCCAGTTCCCTGAAAAATATGTTTTCTACAGAACCTGAACTCCCAGATTTTATGTGCTCATCAATGATGTTAACCCAATGCCGCTGGGGAAAATGAACAAAAATTGGGGAAAATGCTGTGCCCACTTTCTATGTTTTTCGTGAAATGTCTGCCGACAGATGGCTCTGGTAGCGCTGATATGAAATGGCGGGAAAAACGTATTTTTCACTAGTGCTATGAAAATCGATGGCGTTATTTTTATCATAAACATCATAATTTTTATAATGTTTTTTTAACATTAGTAACAGCAAAATAAGATAACGTAAAATATTTTGTAAATCAAAGAAACAGGTAAACGGGCGATACGGGCGATACGGGCGGTGCTTGTAACTGGCTCATTGCCTAGTTAGTATAAGTGTTGCCATCTATGCATAAAAACAATCAAACAAGTACTCACGGTGGGCATAGCACGTACGTACACGTCATACCCAGCGGCACTGGGTTAAGAACCAGCTAGATGTTCACTGCTACACATTATTTCACTATGGAAATGGTTTTAGCCTTGGTTTTAGTCTTGAAAATGCACCAGACATTACAGAAGGCCTACAATGGCAAATTTTACTAGATTTTATAAGATAACTTTGATGAGAAGGCTGAGAATATTGTAACCTAAATCAGCATTAACTGTTCAACCAAAATATCCCCACATGGAGGATCCATAAGATGTCACCTGCAACAAAGGTAATAATACAAGACAGGATTTATTTTGCAAAATCCATGATATTATTTCCAGCACTTTTGCATACCTTTACTCTAAACAAAAATTTACTCCTATACCATTTGTTTATATTAACCCATTGCCACCAGTAAAACCTAGTTTACTGTCATTTTGTTTTGTAAAATGTCTCTAAACATATAGGGCTCCACTAATGTTCAGCTACCAAGGAGTCGATTAGTTGACCTCAAGACCTTGCCTGATTTCACCTTTCCATGAGTTTTGGGGAATTTTTCTTCTAAACAAGTGGTACCAATATCCTTACAATACAAAAACTGAGCATAAATTTAGGTAATACACACCTAAGACAGCAACAGCCTGCTGTGATGAGAGATCAACCTCCTTTTCTTCTGCTTTATCTTTCTCCTCTTTCTTATCTTTATCTTTATCCTCCTTCTTGTCCTTATCCTTGTCCTTTTTATCCTTGGATTTTGTTTCCTCCTGGTCATAATGATCCGTGCAGATGTGAAGCATCTCCTGGACCTGAAATAAAAAAAAAAGTTGGTTTTAAACAGACTTTAAAGGGATTTTAAACAGACTCATTGACAAACTGTTTACATTGGTAAATGTTTTGTACTTTTGCATGAGCACCAAATCATCCTTCTTTCTTCTCATCAGATGTTTTCAATTACATCGCCTACTTTGTGAAATTATCAATTTTCATCTATGCCTTTTTAGCTTTGTTCAAGTAATCTATAAACTTGAATACTATTCATATGATCAAATTTACATGATCTTGTTACTAAATTTTGTCCTTCCCTCTGCAACTACATGATGTCTCGACACATTAAAAAAAATCTTTGAAAACATTCACCTGTCTTTAACCACACGCCATCAGGGAAATTGCATAAAAGAATGGGGAAATGCTGCATGTCCCCCCCCCCCCACCTTTCTTTTGTTGTTTTTTTGCATGAAATGTTCTGCACATAGATGGCTCTGCTAGTGCTTAGCCACAAAGGAGTCAATTAATAGACCTTGTGACCTTACCTAATTTTACCTTTCCTTGAACCGGCAGGAAAAACATTTTTTTATTAATTCTTTGAATATCTATTGAGTTATTTCTATTATATAATTTTATTATGATTACTATAATGTTATATACATAAGATAAGATAACGTAAAATATTTTCGTATATCAAGGAAAAGAGTAAACAGGGGAAAAGGTACTACCCATAATTGGCTCACTGGTGACTTAGTACAAGTGTAGCCATCTATGTGTAAAAACAATTAATAAAGTAAACCCACTGTGGGCTCGGCATGTACGTACATGTCATGCCCGTCAGAGATGGGTTAAGCTCATCTCCAGTCTTAATAGCTTCCTGCCCCCATCAGAGCTACATAATAAATTATCTTTTTATTCAAGTTTCAACACTCTCTTAGGCCTAAGAACTGAAGAACATACATACCTTCAAGACATTACCAGTTCCAGCATAAGCACAGACTTCAATCAGGGTGGCTGTCATCTGACGGAAGGGCGCAGGTAGGTTTTCAATGCAGGAGAGGACCACCTCACACTTGTCTTGGCAACCTGAGAAAACAAATATTTGAATTTCTCTTAAAAAAAAAAAAAAAAAAAAAAAAAAAACACACAGAAAAATAAAAGCATAAAACTCAACAATAATTTGCAACAAAAGCAAGTCAGCATTTCGGATAAAAATTTGCACTCACCAAGGTATGCAAGAGCAAGGCCAAGGGAAATGAATCTGGCATATGTGTCCTTAAGTTCAGTCTCAGATTTGGCCAAAAGTGTCGTGACTAGAGCCTCCACAACCAGCTGGTTTGTTGTACCCACTGCAATCATTCCACACGCCAAAGCAGTGATGCCCACTACCTCGAGGGAGCTCTTCTCATCCGACAGAACTGGAGTGAGGACGTTGAGGACAGCTTCTCTGTTGCTTCCAGAGTAGGCTAGCCCCAGGCCGAGGATGGCTCCAATACGAATGACCTGGAAAACAAATCCTGTTTGTTTCCTGTTGCACAATACTGAATGGTTTCTGTATAGGTATTTATCCAGTATGAAAAACAGCCTAATTTTAGTCAAACAGAACAGCAAGACTGAGCACAAACCATAGTTTTGTGTCCGATGTAGTCTGAGAGCAAGGCAAGAGCAGGGTCACACTCATTCCTCACACCACTGTTGACAATGCCACAGGCCAGAAGGGCGCCAGACTTAATGAAGTCTTCAGAGGAGTAAAGGTACTTGTCAATCTGTGTCAGGCCTCCATCAACGTCCCACAGTAAGATCAGACCAAGTGAAGCGGTTGCACTCAACATACCTGGAATTTAAACATTCTTAGTTTTTGATCAATGAACTTGTAACAGCAACACAAAGGTAAGAGCAGATTTTTTTACTGTAAGCTTCAAAATGTCTCTGCCGACAGATTAATGTCCAGAAAAATTACCATCACTGTACAAAAGTCTTACCATGTTCCTTATTTTTGTACAGCCACTTATTTCCGTCCTCTGTGAGTAGCTTGTCCGTTCCAAAGGCAGCATTTACAAAGCCATTGACGAAGGAGGAAGCGAGATTCTGGCGGGCAGAGTCAACCTGGCCGGGGCCAAAGGTGGGCCGGTTGTTCTCCAGGTGAGACTTGTAAATGTCCTCTGGGGTTTTGGGGTCCATGATGTCCAACTGGGAATTGAGGCAGTTTGTTAAATTTAAATTTGAAAAGGAGCCAATGTAATGCCTGAACAAACATTTCCTTCTTTCTTTCCCTTTAGTTATTTTTGCAAATCTACTTAGTTTATGCTGTTACCAAAGATATGCAGATTGTGGCTCATTGAGGAGAACTAAAAAAGTAATAACAGAAGACAGTTACGTACTATAACAAGTGAAAGAGGAAATAATGCAAGGATATAACAGCAGCAAAAATAGAGTATATAAACTTATGGCCAATAAACATTTTGCTGCTTGTGCTCTCTAGAACTTTTAAAAAGGTAAAAACGAGGGCAAAGAACAAAACTAGATACAGATGTGAATAAAGGATTCAAAGATAAAATAGGTACATGCCAATTACATGACTAGTGCTAATCATTCCACAATCCAGTTCCTACAGTTAACATACTAACCTCACGCCCGAGAGAGAGGAAGTGAGTGTTCAGGTGGGAGTTGGAGAGGATCTCTGTCAGGTCTTCATAGTCATCCATGTCCTCCGGCAGCTCCAGGAACACCTGCTGACGGCCCAGCATGAAGGCCACTTGCATCCTCACCTGGAGCAGCAAGACAAAATAAAATTAATACAAGTCCTAACATGACATGGACTTATAAAAATGATAAGAGCAAATAAATATCAAAATGTTGGGGGGAAGGGGACTAACCAGCTTGTCCGGGCATTCATCAAATAGTTGTTTAATGAGATCAAAGTCATGGAGTTGGAGCGCCAGTCTCATGGCCTGCGGGTACTGCCCAAATTTGCGATACAGCTGAAGTGCCGTGTTGATCAGGTTGGTGTTCTCGGGGTCTGGGACGTAAGGTACACAGCTGGTCAGGTACAAGCACACTCGAGAGTAGGCATCCTTCAAGGAAAAGGGAAAGAAAGAAAAAAATAGATTGATAAATAAATAATAATAATGGTGATTGGTATAATCTCCTATTACATTCACTTTTTCTTATATACCGTACATACACGTCTTATATATTCTACAAATAATCTCAAGATCTCCAACAAAAGTTTCCATGACACACTCACACACTGGTCAGTTTCTCCTTTACCTTATCAACGTAATCCTGTGAAGTAAGGAGTTCCAGCTGTTCCATCTCCATAAGCAGGTCACATGCCTCTGCCTCTGCGTTGTGCTGCATGTGGTAGGGGACAATGACATGGGCTTCACTGATCAGCTCGGCTCTCCTGGCATCATCATCCTCACCCAGTGTCTCCCATTCCTGTGCGATTTCTCCAGCCAAGTGCCTGTATATTGTGGTAGGTGGGTTCAGTAAGCACAACTGTCGCAGAAAGTAAATTAGACATGTACTTCACACAGATTACAAAGGTATACTGCAAGGGACTAAATCACTTCCCAAAAGGCCCCATGGATTTATTTTACCAAAAAATTACTTTAGAAATTATTTATAAAGTCTATAACATGCTGCACTAGGAACAAGTAAATAATGCCAATAACAACAAAAGGTCTGACCTGACATATTCATGGCCCCAATCTCCAATGTCTCCACGCTGGCCGAGCAAGCGGTACTTCAGGCATTCGCGTTCCTCAGACATAGTCATGGCCAAGACAGAGACGATGTCAGCTGCAAACTTCTTTAGGCCATTGTCTTTGATGTTATTGTATATGTCCTGTGAATAATACAGACAGCTGTCTCTAGTGAAATGAACACCCAACCTTATTATTTTACACAATAACTGCCAGTCTGTCTCTAGTTCTACAAAAGTTGTGGTAAACAATATACAAAAGATTTTGTTCCATATAGGTAATGGTTATCAACCCCAACCAATCTTAAATCAAACTGCAGATATAAATTGTAACTTACTGTTCAAGAGTATCATGATCACTCAATTACATAAAAAATACAATTTTTTCTATTTCTGTTGTCTACTAACCAAAATTTGAAAACTGGGCTAAGAGTTTAATACACATTTCCAATAGCTTTAACAAATCTCAAAACAAGTTACTCAATTTAAAATGCAACTCCACATCCTTTTTTTTTGGAAGAAAAAAAATATATATATATAAAAAAATACACAAAATGGATTTATCGTTATCCTAATAATAACTGAATCTCCTGCTTCCCCTGGAATAAAAATTTACATCAAAGTACTAAAAACTCTCAGACATTGATGATTGAAAGTAGAAAAGACTAATAAATATATGAATGAGACAAACAAAAGAAAGTAAGGACCTAAAGAAGAGAAAGAGAAAAAGGCGGCACAGGCGTTCCCCACCTTCATGGTCTGGTAATGCGGCCGCATGAACTTGAGAGGTTTGGGGACGCTGGTCATGGATGTGGTGGAGGAGCGGATGAGGGAACGGATCTGCTCCAGGGCTGGCTTGTACAGATCCGCGTTAGTTTCCTGCAGCCGCTCCACCAGCATGTTCAGCTCCTCCTGCAGCAGTCTGTCCTCCTCAGACTGTAAAGGAGAAAATAAAGAAAGTTATACAATCACAAATGCATGTTTACATACAGGAACAGTTACATTAAGGGGACCACCATCACGGGAAGGGCAAAATTGAGATGAGGGTAGTTTCAGCTTTGTGCATGTATGGAAAAACTATAAGACATTGCTGCAACTATCTGTTTAAGTATTTTCACCTATTTTTGTTTTTATGTTCATTTTAATGGCTACTGTAGCATTAAATCTTCATTATAATTTAGAAATTCAAACCTACCCCTGCATGGATTTGACTGGGGTATGATAATACTTAACAAAAAGAGAGAAAATAATAATAATAATTAGGATATTCAACTGTTAGAACATGTGCATGACTTCCTTGTGGTAGTGTTACCCTACACAGGTTATATTTCAAAAGTCAAAAGTGTATAGCAGAATAAAAAGCAATCAATATACAAAACCCCTTTGTATCCCACTGCCTAACCATCTCCATCACTGAAATTGTTCTTATGATGAATTACATCAAATATTGGTTTGCTTTTCTTGCAAAATGCACTAAGAATAATATATAAAAATATATACTGCAGAACACAAATGGTAAAAGTTATATGAGGAATAAAAAAAGTGGTTTTCAAGATTCTTTTTGTAATTTCACTCCACATAACAAACCAAATCAATGATCATTTTGCAATGACTTTTCACTGCAAAGTCCATATTTAGTTTTTCTTTCCATTTATAACATTGATATTGGATAGTAAAAATAATTGTCAAAATATCAGAAAAATTAGTAACCATGAAATCAGTTTTCCACAGTACCAATTTTTGGGAAGCAGGGGGAAAATAATATAGCTGAACCAATCTAAGTGATGGGTTCACTATATTCAAGTGGCTGTTTGTGAGGTCAGACACATTGAGTTTGGTGATTTCAGCAATTGTTTGCAATTTGTGCTCCAACAGTCTTTAGTTACAAAAATGTGAAAAAAAGTTTTTAGCTAAATTTGGAAGGCCATGGTTTTGCATGCGAAGTGTAAGACTCTCTATACCTTCTAGTATGCTCTGATATAGTCTAAACCAGAAACCGTGAACCCACTCTTGACACAAATTGTCAGACCAGAAACTTTGCAGTCAAATATATCATGATTCTGTCCAGGACAGGTTAATGCAGAGAAACCCCCAATACCCTAAACACTGGCGCCTGACAGCAGGGAGAAGCATGATTTAGAACAGGAATCTCAGGGTAAAACATCAATAAAACTGAATAGTGTATATTAAAATAAAAAAGGTATCAACATGATTAGAACTCTATGGCCACCATATAAGAGGCATCAGTTCATTGACCACTGCAGCCAATTGTATCCAATCTTGGAAAACAAATACACAGAAAAATGGAGTGTATTACACTAACTTGTCCATATCTTTATCACTGTGGTCCCTGTGTCAGCAATCGTCAGGACAAGATACTCTTTTACCCTTCTGTTCCATCCAATTAATAGATAGCACTCTATGAAATGCATAGTTACCATGTGACAACACACATTTTCCTAGGTTTTCAATAGTTCCATTGTTGTTAACATCCCACACACCCCAAATGCTGCAAGGAATGTATAATGTCTGCTGCAATTTTGTCTTGTGAAATGTGTTTACATACAGATGGCTCCACAAGTCTTCAGACACCAAGGAGTCCATCTGTATGCCTATGTCACCTAATTTTTCCTTTCCTTTATTTCTGGGGACTCTTTTCGTGCTTTTAATATCAGTGCTAAAATTACAACAATTAATTATTGTCATGATTTTATAATGTTTACAGCAATACAAAAAATATAATAATAATAAATAAATAAATGAATAAAAAATAAAAAATCAAGGGAAAGGGGTAAACATGAGTTTGGTCAGCCCAGCAACTTTCTCCTTGGTGACTTGAGGAGCCACCTATATGTAAACACAATTAATAAAGTAGACTCTCAGTAGGCATGTACAGTCACTCAATGAAATACCTTTACTTGGGAGATAAAACCAAAACAATCACTTGGAGCTGAATCAGAAAGGTTGGGACTTTTGTTTTGAAAGCTCAAAACAGATGAAGCTTCATCATGTGTTTGAATAGCATTTTGGAGCTGATATGACTAGGGCTTTGTATCATGGCAATATTAGCAATGTAGACCACACAGACCATTTGTATTACCATAAGGGTATCAAGAGCTGAAATATCAAGATTAGGTACTTCAAAGTCAACAGTGTTTCTGCAGATCCAGCAGCAACAAGCAACTGGGTCCACTGGAGACAAGGCCAAAAGTGGGCGCCTTTGATGCATGACAGAGGAAAATCAAGTAAGTGTCATTCAAAACTATAAATGAATGTGCAATATGGAAGACAAATAGGATGCTTGCACTGAAATGCAAGAATATCACGAGATAATGAAAACCATTTGATACTTAGTGTCAACACCCAACACAGAAGACTGGTTCTGAGAAGGGGGCAAGGCTGGCAGTTAGTTGCCTTGTCCCCTTACAAGGAGTCATTTTCTTTTTAGTTATATATTTTCCTTATTTTTTTAAAACAGGCCATAACTGCTGCAAGGGATGCAGACCCCTTTTGTTCTGCTGGCAACATCCTGTGGGACTTCGCATAACACTGCAGCGTGCAGACTGGCAGAAACCACTGGTTGTTTGGGTGGATGCACAGCAGCAAGGTCAGGGAGTTGATAAATGTCAGGCTCTGTAGATGTACAGGGTGTGCCTGTGTGGAAATCCTGGACACTGTATCTACCATCAGTGAAGGCCACGATGTTCCCCAAGCCAGAGCCAATTTTACCTCATCCAGGAGAACAGCCCCATCCACACGAACAGTGAAAGCATGATTTCAGTAAAACCCCAAGATTGCATTGTGCCACATCCACCCAAACTACCACATCTCAATCCTGTTAAGAATAACTGGGCAGGCTTCCTCCAAGATCATACCCGCAACTGCCATATCATCACTGCCTCAGCAATTGTGCTAAGCAGTGTTAGTGGCATCCATAACATGTAGACTTGCAAGTGTTCGGCAAGCTGGCAGCAGTAACATTAAAAGTATTAAATCCCTAATATTTCCCTTTCATTTACTTGAATTGTCACCATGGAATTTATTTAGGACTTCAGTTACTTGGATTAAACATAACATACAAATATCATGTTGAGTTCACAACACTTTTCCCCACTATCTTCATTATCGTATCATATTGTCAAGTCAGAAAGAGTAGCAGTGGTTAATGATTTCATGACCTATACCTTCCAGAGTTACCATAGTAGTGCAGTATATGTGTTAGTGGTGTATATAGTTATGAAAGTTACAGAGGGAACTTTCTGGCTCCTTGTGGTCACAAGGAGTAAGAACAAGGAAAACTGTTTTGCTTTTAATAGCAAAATATCATGAAAATAATGAAAAGGAATGGCATATAGCAGTCCAAATCCCAGGCAACAACAATGAGGAGGATCACAATACTATTCAAGCTGCCCTTCTGGAATTATTGTTTGTGCTAAATTACCTAAATACAACATACTTCCTTGGGCTCTCTCCTGCTAGAACATACAAGATTTTTCAGACCAGGCAGGAGGGCCAAGCCCTTTATATACTGTGAATTTGTCCAGCCTCTATCCTGCCAAAACATATGGGGTGAAGATTTTAAGAAAAAGATGACAGACAGAAAGAGACAGAGCCCCCTAATTACTATGCACCACAATCGCTAAATCATTGAATCATTTACCCCGATCATTGGCTTTTACTCTATCATTTTTCTGGCTGTTAGGGCAGATATCACAGCTATGCTTCTTTTGCAGCAACAATTTATGTCTCCATAAATGGGCGTGGGGAGGATTGATGGGCAAACATTACTTCACCTTGGCATGCACAGCAAGATAAAGCCAAGACTCGGGAGCACTGAGTGGACTTAGGCTGTAAGAAGTGCTTTCCACAATCTTTTTCCTTCATTTGTGGTGTTTCCATTCATGTCTTCAGATACTGGAGACAAACATTTTTCCTCTACAAGACTAATATCAGCTTTCCCTAGCTTAGTGTGTCCATACCATAAAGATTTACCAGAATCATAATAATTAATTACATAATAATGGAAGCAGGACCCAAGGGATGTCAAGTTGAAATTCCAATCAATCCCATTGCAGCTTGGCCTGAGCTACTGGAAAGTTTGATTTGTCCTTATTCAGCAAAATAACATGACTACAACAAAAAGGACCAGTGGATACTGTTCCTAATTCTTGCCAACAGCAACAAGGAGGATCCTGACAAAGCACAGGCTGACCATTCTATTGGACAATATGAGAAATCATCATAAAATCCAGATATTTGCTTGGGCTTTATACTGCCAGATTATTCAAGATAAATGCTTTGTAGACGTGGCAAGAGGTAGGGATTGTAGCCCCTTTAAAAGAACCAGAACTCCCTGTATACTATTTACCCAGGCTCTATCCTGCCAAACGAGGGGTGAAGATTTTAAGAAAAGATGACGGCAGAAAGAGACAGAACAGGAGCCCCCTTAATAATATGACCACAATCGCTAAATCATGAATCTTTTACCCTGAGCATTGGGCTTTTACCCTATCATTTTTCTGGCTGTTAGGGCAGATATCACAGCTATGCTTCTTTTGCAGCAACAATTTATGTCTCCATAAATGGGCGTGGGGAGGATTGATGGGCAAACATTACTGCACCTTGGCATGCACAGCAAGATAAAGCCGAGACTCGGGAGCACTGAGTGGACTTAGGCTGTAAGAAGTGCTTTCCACAATCTTTTTCCTTCATTTGTGGTGTTTCCATTCATGTCTTCAGATACTGGAGACAAACATTTTTCCTCTACAAGACTAATATCAGCTTTCCCTAGCTTAGTGTGTCCATACCATAAAGATTTACCAGAATCATAATAATTAATTACATAATAATGGAAGCAGGACCCAAGGGATGTCAAGTTGAAATTCCAATCAATTCCATTGCAGCTAGGCCTGAGCTACTGGAAAGTTTGATTTGTTCTTATTCAGCAAAATAACATGACTACAACAAAAAGGACCAGTGGATACTGTTCCTAATTCTTGCCAACAGTAACAATGAGGATTTTGACAACTCGCACTCTGGCCACTCCAGATTTAATGGACAATGTAAGAAATTATTGGCATGAAACCCAGATATTTGCCCCAAGTTCTATCCAGCAGACTATACAGGGGCTAGGAATTAGTACAAGTTTTTGTTTTTACCCTACAATGCCCCTGATACTCCTCATGTCCTTCCCAGCTATGAGGAATATTGTATCTGTGCTTCTTTTAGATTGTGGCTGGATTCGTTGACAAGAGCTTTCCAAAAACAGAGTTCTCCCAGAATTCAGTTAAACGTTACCTTCAAATCTAACCGGAAAATAGTGTTCACCCAAAAAACACCACTAGCTATCACTTCTAAAGCAACATCTGTCGTTCTTTTCCTAACATTAAAATCCCCTGGACTGGCTACAAGCTCTACTCCACCATCGTATACTTGATAGGCCTTTGTTGACATGTGAAACCTCAAAACATCCTGTCTGGCCACAACGCCTCAACTGCAGCCTATTAAGATCAAATGAATTACTATTAGCGGTGCCCAACTTCCAGTAAGAACTGTCTTAATAGTTTTCCCACAAAGAACACGTCGAAAAAGTCTCCAAAATGACATGTTAACAAAGATTATTACGAATGGCGAAACGTCACCTTTGGCGCGTGAGAAACCCGAATATACTATAAATTCCAGAGAGAAAGAGTTTAACAATTTATGATATATAGGCCACGTAATTAAATACTGTACCTGATCATCCTCCCGAATCGATAAAGAAGAGGAGAGGAAACCAATTTTCAAACAAGCAAGAAACTTTCCACTCCATTTCAAACCCCCATCATTTAAAACCCCTCTTCCGCCAAGACCAAACTTACCAATTCCTCTTTAAGATCCCCATCCTTCTTCTCCTCGTCCTTCTTGTTCTCCTTCTTCTCGGTTTTGGTCGCGTCTTGCGGCATTTTCTTTAGCGTCCCTTCCTGTTCCTTCGCCTTCCTCTCGCTTGTTGATGTTCGTCGGCAGTTCGCGCTCGACCGTCGACTTCCTTCGCTGCCGGGGACAAAAGCCGGATTTCTGGGGGCGCTCCGGGCTTTTCTTTTATTTATTAGCGTTAGGGTTTCTTTGTTTGGTTGGGATTAGTTTTGGCAGAGTGTTGTAAAATAAGGAAAGAGGGGGATTCTTTCGAAGTCGACGGAATGGTGGCTTCAAGGGAGCGTGAGGGTAAATGACATTTGGAAAATAAATACTTGATTAGTTCTCAAAACCTTATATTAAAGCGATTAGTTCTAATATTAAATGTTTATAAACCATTTAGTTAAAATCTATGATTCTGGTACCTATCATTATTGATATAGCAAAAAACACAGGAAAAAATGTTTTATATAGAAGAATCATTTCTCGGTGACTATTCATTTGCTTTTAGAAAATAAAGCCTTTAACCTTTTTTCATAAATAAAGATGTTTAACTTCTTATGGTTGATTATCATAACCAATATGGCGCAATGCATCTAGAATAAAAAAAAAATCACTTCAAGATTGTCCATAAGCCTGACATTGAAATGCTGTAAAACTGCTATATATTAATTTATTTAACCAAGGGTATCTTCCTGATAAAAGAATAAAAGCCAAAAAATATTTTTTTCTAGGAAATTACATCACGCTACATTCAGGATCTCTTCCCCCCTCGTTTTCCGATATCAATCAATACCCCTCACACAACTATAAAAATCCCATTAACCATACACTCTTATTTTTCCCAAACTAACTATCCCCTAGATAAGAAAAAATAAAAGATGAATCCAATCCCTCCCTTGAGCCACATCACCTTACACTCGGGGTCCCTACCTTCCCGTTTTCTCTCCTTCCCGTTTTCTCTCCTTCCCGTTTTCTATGCCTCGCCGACCACCACTCCAACATGGCTGCTTCGTAGAGGCTCCCTGGCCAGCGCTGCGACTCGGGAAAATGTCCTGCTGAGGATTAGTATGGCCGATGTGGGCGACAAGGCAACCAGAAATAAGAAGAAGATTCGCAAAGTGTATCAGAAGGTGGGTATAGAGCCTCCTGAGGTGAGCGAGAGGGGGGAAATAGCGCGGTTAAAGAGGCAAGACTTTTTATCTGCGACCTTCGAACTTCCCATAATTTGGGGAAAAGAAAAATGATGATTATTTCTCATTTTTTATTTTGGGGGAATTCGTCTTCCTCCTCCTTCCTTCGCCCTTCTCCCGGAGGAAAGACCTCGCCTGCTTATGCCACAATTGCTCCCGAATTGAAGCACAAGACACGATTTTCCCCCTTTTTTATCATGAAAAACAAAAACTTCCGTGACGTGTATGTAACAGGAATGTGACGTTGAAGGCCTCAAACAAACAAGCAAAGGAATACAATGAAGGCAAAAATCTGCACTAAAATACATGAAAAAGGAAAAAGGAAAAGGAAAACCGCCAGAAAAGCCCGTGTTGCTGGAGGCCTTCTGGTCCATAACATTAAAGGAGACGAAACCGAGAAATCGCTAACTCTTGTAAAATTACCTCAGACAAAGAACTAAAAAAAGAAAATAGACACAAAACGAAGAGAGAAAGGTGGGAAGGGGAAGTGGGACGGAGGAGGAGAAGAACAGGGAAGGGAGAGAAGAACAAGAAGGTGAACAAGTGGCAGAGGTCAAGATTTAAGAAGGATATTTCTGATTGCCGGGAGGGATTTTTACTCTTTGTTTATTTCTGTTTGTTTGTTTTATCTGTAAATAGTGTTTATGGAGAGAGTATTTTCCTGTCCTTTTGTTAGATTTGTGCAGCTTTTTGGGTATTTGGATGTTTTTAAGTTATTCTTTCCTTTTCCTTTTTTTTTATTTTTTACGGGGCGCATATCACAGTTCCTTACATGCTGTTACTGGAGGTGTGTATAGTATTGTTTAGGCCATAGGTACATTATGTAGGCCTATGTGATTTATTCCAGTAATTCAGATGGATGGAATAGGTTGTTTGTTATGCCAGTGTTTGATGTTTTCTTTTTTTCTTTTCTTTCTTTTTTTCATGTTGCACAAGGTAAATAGTATGTGATAATTGCTCAGGAAAGTCCAATACATGAGAAGAAAGATATCAACCACTATAACAACCACCTACTATAGCATCAGGCTTAGCAGTAATTTACCTGTTACAAAGACTGTTCCTAAATCCCAGAGCATCAGACGTAGTTTGAAAAGGGATGATTTCAACAAAGCTTATTTCTTGTACATGTTTTGAGTTTCATGTAACCAAGAAAATGATGTGAATCAGACTTGAAGTTCAGAAAAATGTCTGTGGTAGGGAGAGCATGTACCTCGTCACTATAATCCTGGTTTGTTTGCGTTTGCCAAGCTGGATGTTTTCTCTGGAGTTACTGGAATCGGTGCTGTTCTCAGGGCAAAGTATGCTCTTGTGCTGTCTGCCAAAGAAAAGGCCTAAAAAATGACTAATCCACAAAGCAATCTGGTAAAGGTTTATACCCAGTGTTCAGGGAGATGACGCATAGGCCAGTGGCTAGTTTAGAGATTTCTTGTAGACATTTTACCATAGGTTGTT